AGATGCGTATAAGAGACAGTATTTTACCTGAATATATATAATCGTCTTCATATAACACTACAAAATAAAGTGTGCAAAAAATAAATATATAAAAAAGTAATAGTACTGTATATACTTTATATATACTGGTATAAAAATTACGTATTAGATAAATAAATATAATGTTTAGAAAAGGCCGTCCTCTACAAGTCGAAAATGGCATTGCAAGCAGCCCACCCCCATCTTATCCCGTATTATTGTCACCATAGGCAGTTCACACACTGCCGTGTGAGGGCCTGACTCGCATGATATGACGCACTTCCGGTAAAAAGCATTACAATTTTGTAATGCACAACTGCTCATTCTTCTCTATTCTTCTTTGGTAGTAGGTATGTGGAACGTACCACAGTGAGTGCGGCTGATACAAACGGTGTTTGTATCAGCCGTTACTTTAATGTAATGGAATAAAATATATTATAAAGTGACCATGTTATTTACTAAATTAAATCAATATGTAACGAATGTCTACAGACGTACATCCATCACAACATTTTAGCATGCATTTTAGGCCTATAATCTACTTTCCCCCTTTCTTTACCAGTGGGCATTGTATCTTACCTGCTTCAACATTATAAACCAAATTATTATTGACTCATGTTCTTAATTTAAAAAGTAATTTGACTTTTATTTGGAAAGGTCTTTCTACAGTTAAAGACGAAGCAGTATTAAATATTATGTTGTAGAATATTCTGTTATGGCAATACTTGCAGCATTTGGCCGACTGGGCTTCACAGAATGACTATTTTCTGGGCGGATCCATAGGAGGCGATGGTTGTCCACGTCCGGTCCTCCTACCACCTTTAACTAGTTAGAGAAGGGACACCCCCTCTTTTTTTTTCGGAATGTTAAACAAAATGGATTACCTACTAAACGCCTCAGAGGTAATTTCCGGGCGTCTAGAAAACGAAAGGTTCGCGGGGACATGCCCCCGATCCCCTATGGAGTGTTACCTCGATCGGCCCACATTCTGCAACCCCCCTCCCCCCACCCTTTTGGACATCTCTCGATTAGCCCCTGTAGAGTGCTTTTTAGCTAGCAGCTTTTTCTTCATTTAGTGTTGGGGAGGGTCATTCATGAGAATAATGTTCAGGATAATAGTATTGTTGACTTTTAAACAAATGAATAACCTTTAACCAACCTTTCAATAGCTCAATAGTGGGGAGGGTGACAAGCCCGGTGACAAGACAAAAGACGGTTGCCCAGGGGCGGATCCAGCGGTGGGGGTCATGAGGGCCCGCCCCCCCCCCCCCCNNAGCCGAAAAATAAAAAAGAGGGTGACAAATTTGAGTTAAAGAGAGGAAGAGCGAAAGGAAAGCTCGACTATTTAACAATTATTGGTGAGGCTGAGGTGGGCGTGGCGTCGTAAACTTCATACTGACCCCGTCAGAAAATCTCTGGATCCTCCCCTGGTTGGCCAAGCCATTTAAAGTTATTTATTCATTCTTTATTTTTTTTAAACTTATTTCATTCATCCTGCAAACATCCTGGACCCGACCAATACAAGCGCTTGACAAGAAATACATCCATGTCATATTTTAGCTGAAATAAGACTTAGCAATCTTGGGCATTTGTCGATTAGTTGGTAACGGATTTAATTCTAGATCTCTACTTCTAAATGGCCCAGTGGTTGTGTTAACTTTATTGGAAAAAGATATTCATCAAATGGTTATTTACTTTTAGTTTCTTTTGTTTTTCTTAATTTTTTTTTTCTCGCGAGCCAGAATAATTTGCTTTGCGGACCAAATTTGGCCCCTGGCCGCCTATTAAGAAATAGGGGATAAGCTTTTGCTTAAAAAAGTCTCCTTTTGTTCTCATTTTATGCTTTTTTTCTTTAATTATTTATTTACTATGTTAACTATTATGGTATGGTCAATGGTCATGTATTTTTGTAGCGCCTTCCACAGTAAAAATCGTCTCAAGGCACTTTTAAGCCACAAGAAACTACTATTTAATTAATGGTCAGGCGCGAACGCGAAAGGGAGAGGAAATGTGACACCCTGTATTTGAGCAGTGGCGGATCCAGTAGGGATCACGTGGCCGCCCCCCCCCCTGTTTTGCCACTAAATTTTAAAATTTCAAGGCACATATTTAAATTAGCGCTCTTATTATCTACTCTGAATATGTTGTGTCTACTACACCCCCCCCCCCCGTTTTGAAAAATTCTGGACCCGGGCCATGTTAAGATATCGTCGGCATCACTGTCGGGTACACGTATGTTACAAATGGGGAAAAAGAGAAAGGAAAAAAAAGAAAAACAAAGTTTTATGCTGTAACCGTCCCATACTAATAAGCGCCTCTTATCCTAGTAAAACACTAGGAAAATTTAGCAGGCATAGATAGGATCTGATTGCTGCACAACAAATCAGGGGATCTTATTGCGCACAGCAGAGTGTTGACAGGTCACATTTGAACGCGTGTTGAGTCTACTGTCACGAATTCTGTTCCAATTAGAGCTGTTCAATTACACATCAATATCAAGAAAAAAAAATTAAATGAATATAACTCTTTTTATAGAATATGAGTATGGTGTCTCCATACTCTTAATAGTTTTGAGCTAATAGACCGACAATCGCGAGTGGAGCGTTCCGTAACATTGTGCATGCAACCGTAAAACACCGCTCCTCACATGATATGTAAAGCGTGTGCAGACTATAATTTTATTTGAGAAAAACATGTGACATGCCTTAATATGGTCATGATGACATCACACCATGACCATTATAGGCTCACCAGGTCAAGTTGATAATTTGGAGAGAGTTTTAGATATTATGTTCAAATGAGACAAAATGGCCATCATGGGTTTAGTGTTATTATATTGCATGTACGTCTGTAACAGTGGAGCTATAAAATTAGACAGTAACTTACCGTAACCATAGACCATCACTTCACATAATTGCAAGTGTGCAATAGTGTCCAAAGTCTGGACTGACACAAAACGTCCAATAAGTGGGTAACCACACTCAACTCGTATGCGCCATCTAAATGACGACACATTATCATCTTGTAATGATTTGCATATAGGATTCTGATAAAAATCAGGACTCATTCCAATTCTTACTTCAGTTTCAGCCAAGCTAAAATCTTGAGATAAAATGCATTGAAAATTGTAATCTACTGTATATGGTGCGAAATTTTTTAAGCAATATTCGAAGCTGAGTAAGAGGAGTGGGTGAGTTAGTGGTCAAATGCATGGGCGTCGATCGGTGGGGGACAGGGGACACGTCCCCCCCCCCAACTTTTCGAAGTAGGGAAACATCATATCAATTGTCCCTCCCCCCACTTTTCACAAATCTTCTATAATTAAAACCTCACTTTTCAAAGTGAATGGAAAGAATAACAATTAGGCATGACTGTCATGTATTTTGTCTGTTCACTTTTCCAAGTGCGGTATGTATTTCCGGACCAAAACTGAGTAAAAACGCAATTGTTTGTACATTTCGTAACCATCTCAGTAACCAATACATCGATTCTATGAATGTAATGGGAAATGTTATCAGATGCTAAATTTATTGTGAAAACAAAATATTGTACGTTGTTAAAATTGGAAGCGTGTAAACTTATTAGGCCAATATTTTTACAAACTCAAATGTGCACAATTTCTACTACTACAATTCTTCGATTTATTTCTTTTGTATATTATTATGACCTTTACTAGTGTTTAATATTATCTGCATACATAGGTTCCTGTTTTTCCTAATTTCAAAAAATCAGAGTTAGTCAATTGAATTTTATATAGGCCTAGCCGTTATCAAACAATAATTATACAGCCATTTACACGGACAGGTCTATCTTTTTCTATTTATAATTAGTGATACCACGAGTTTACAAACTACAGTGATACGTTGACGCAATCTCTCAATGACGTCATAATAATCAATATTGAATTCAAGTGGGGCCGAGCCGACCCATCCCCTCCCTTAATTTTTTCAAAATAAAAAAAAGTAAAGAAAAAAACCGGAAAATTATAATTAGAAGTTAGGTCTGAGATTGCCATTTCCGCCCCATCTAGGATGGTAATAATCATACTATTTCTTACCTCAGCCCCAACCATCGTGGGGCTGAGGTGACCTAGTTTCCCAAATTGCGTAAATCTCTCCATGTCCCCTCTATTTCGCTTTCCTGGAACCGCCACTGATAATGATAAATTAAGCAAATCAACTTTATATTTGTGAAATCAAAATGTGAAGAACTAAGTGTAATTCAAAAAGTGGAGAAAAGGAAAAAACCTCTTGAATGATTTTAAAATACTGTATATGGTTATCAGTAGATAATAAATCATTATTTTTATGAATGTTAGTTTGCACAAAATATAATATAAGCGGGCATATTTATGATTACAAGGATAATTTAAAAAACTTTGTGATGAGTATTTCAGTGGCAGACTCAAGGGGCCCAGTGTAGTAGCAATACTACTTGCACAAAAGTGAAATTTAAAAGAAGAGGAGAAAAGGAGAAACCTCTTGATTTATTTAAAAAAACTGTAGATGCTAATCATGTAGACAATAAATCATTATTTTATATCAATATTAGTTTGCATGAAATATATAAGTGGGCATAATTATGATTACCAGAATATGTTTAAATTTTTTTTTATGAGGAGTATTTCAGTGGCAGATTCAAGGAGCCCAGTGGAGAAAAATGAAAATGGTTCAGATTTAGACTGAGAGTGCCATTTCCGGCCAACTAGAGGTGCCATAATCATAAATTTTCTCTACATCAGCCCTAACATTGGCGGGGCTCCATCTATAAACGCCCTTCCCTGGGCCTAGCTCTATTTCAAGTTTCTGGATTTGCCACTGTATGAAAATAAAAGTTAGTTGCATTCCTTAAAATCAATTAGAAACAACTTATAAAAGACACAGGCGCCAGAGCTTCCGTGGACTTCGCCACTTGGACCCTCACCAGGGCCCTGGGCAGCCCCTGATCTGGTCCCCAACCAAGGCTTGCTGATTGGCATTTCGTCCCCCCCCCCCTCCACTTTCAACCACGGATCGACGCCCTTGGTCAAATGTCGATAGTAAGATGGACACATTAAAAGCCATTAACATTCTTTTGAGGGATTAACCAAACATACAGGTAAATAAAATAAGGAGTTTACGTACTGCGTGATGGGTTACGAACAATGTCTACGTACTGTATACCAACTGCCTTCTGTAAATCAACTATCCACCACGGTTCTTCAGTATATGCTAAAATAAAAATTAATAACATCTTATCTTCCAATGAACAATGTTATAATAATGATACTTTTTAATTATCATCTAATTGTTTATATTGTGTTGGGAATTGTAACTCTAACTGAAAGAATATCAGGATATGTTGATTCCATACTTAACTTTAAACCAATATTGCCAGTTACACACGGGACAATACTCACTTATGAAACACGATCAGCAAGGTACCTAGTCTAAACGAAAACACATCATACATCAATATACGGTACTGTATGATCAAGGATTAGCCACTTGTCAGAAGTTTATCCGGAAGGTCGCACCAACTCAACCTGCCGGTGATATAGGCCTAAGTGCCATCACCAAATTTACTTAACCCACAATAACTTCCCTTTTAAAGGCAATCAATACTTACAGATTTAAGAAACTAAAATGGGGCACGAAAATGGCACTGTGCTCAAAATATATTCAGGTTTGAACTTGAAGAAAAGTTACTGACCGATATCACTCATAAACAGGATTATTACTCTAGATATATACAGATTTTCCATTGATACTTTGCTGTGCATTTCACTTGTGTTATATATATATA